TTCTCGTTATCGATGATGTGCAGCTATCGATGCAGGTGTTAATTGGCAAGGTCATTTGCACTCGCTCGTTCCACAATAACAACTACAAGCACCTGCCCTGTGAAATATTACTTAATTGTGCACTTGTATTTACAATTTAAGCCTACCCAGTAAGAGTGAGCGAGATGGCACATGGGCTCCACTCGCAAAACATTTACACGCACACACACAATCTCTCAATGTCAAGGTAATTTCGCCGCTGTTTAATAAACCAAGCGAATTTTATGTCGAATCATTTAAATAAAGATGGCTGTAAACATAAACAGCGGCAATGCCTCCGAATATTGATATGATATTTTATCACAGCTATAAAAGCCACAAATTCTTTAAACGTTCCCAAAACGGGCAACGCACACTCTCACACATATGTACACTCTCGTAGACGGCATTCCGTGGGCTGGTTCATTGAACTTGAATAAAATGGGCTACCAAAAATAAAACAGGAGAATGCAGCCCTACTCCGACTTCAATTGGAGGCCAATTTGGTTCCACTGTGCGAGCGAGAACGAATATGTGGGTCGCGGCATCTGCATCTGCCGAGATTTCACAACAATAATAATAATAATAACGGCATGCGGGTGTTGTTTCTGTTCCATTCATGCATGCGCATCTGTGTGCGAGAGAGGGAAAAGGAGAGTAGGGAACCGTTATTGGGTCAGCGTGTTGCCAACTGCCGAAAAACGCAGCCAGCGTGTTGCCAACTGCGCGATAGCTGGAGTTAACGGTGTAAAAGCACACACACTCGGGCACATGAAATGAGGCCGCTCTGCACGTTGCTTTTGTAATGAAGAGCAATGCACTTTCGACGCAAACACACACTCAGACAGAACAGATACATACAAACGCACGCGGGGAGATGCTACTTGTATATACAAGAAATGCCGGAAAAGGGGGCGCGTTTTTTGGGGGGTGGAATGCGGGTGGGTGTACAATGTATATATACATATACCCCATTTAAAACATCCTTCGGGGGAGTTTTTGGGGACTGGAGGGTTGTTTCTCCCAGTTTCCGCAATTCGCCTCTTAAAGCACTGGTTAAATTTCCATCAAATTGTGTGTATACACCCGTGGCTTGAATTTATTGATTTTTATGGGCAATTGCTTTAATTTCACTGGCCAGCAGGGCTTTAAAACGTCATCAGCGGTGTGCCACCAAACAAAAAAACTAGTTTCACGGCGGGGAAAAATGCGCGCGGTCAAAGTGGTCAAGCAACGCACAACAAAAACAGAAAATATCTCTTTTTTCAGGGAGCGGTCCACCGAAAACTTGAAATTCTTCCGACTTTCTTGTTATTTTCACGCAGCGGTTTCTTATTGGCCGCTAACACCCTCACAGAATATTGATTTTCTCAATTTCTTTACCCGAATCGGCACTTGGAATAAACGCTTTTCAGCCCCGTAGCAGTAGCGTTGCGTTTTTCTGGCTTTTCCTTTGGCTTTCCCAGCGCTTTTCCGCGCCTCACAGATTTTACAGCCGCCCACGAGTAGCAAACGCACGCAAGTAAAATAATCAACACTCGAAAAAGGCGCTGAACAACACCATCCACCAGCGCAACAACAACACTGTGTGCGCGAGTATTTACAAGTACAACAACACCAGCAGCACACCACACACCTTGTAACTTGTTTGTTGTTGTTTCGCTCGCACATCGAGAGCGAGCAGTGCGGGCGCGAGAGGGAGACAACACCACCTGCTCTGTATACAAATGCAGCTTAGGTAAAACGATTTTGCTGGCTGCGCGGTTTTTCCAATTGCCCAAATTTCGCGAAAAGCAAGCAATTCCGTGACGTCGCTCGATTTTAGTCCTAAAAACAACGATTTCCGAGCATTTTCACACCGAAACAAGAAAAACCTCGGTTACCAGACGGATGGTCAAATTTCTAGCGATGCGTACTTTCTTAGAGACGGTCAAATTATTTAGAGATGGGTTAGTCTCGGCCCAACTGAATTCTGGACTTTTTAAAGAACTTTTTAATTCAAATTATTCCTGATTCCTTAATTTCAGTACCGTCCGCGAATTAACACACAATCTTTCGGTCTTGCTGGGATTCCAATAGGTCTTGATTAAAACTAATAGACATCTTTTTTTACTGGTCACACATTTAATAATTGGCGCGACTTGTAAAATCATTTATTTTTAGGCATTAAAAGACGATCTTAAGCTATTAAATGCCCCTACTGAACAGATAAACATAAATATACATAATTGATTGAATGTACTTGAGTAACGACAAAAAGACCTATGCCAGTAAGCTCTGAAACCTTTAAAAATATATTGAATATAAGTTTTGAAAATATATTTCGCGACTGGCGTTGCCAGACGTAGCAAAGTGTTTTTACTATTTCGGCCGATATATATCGTATAGTGTTGAGTAGCGCTCGAGCCCGAACAGCTGTGGGAAAAATCAATTTTGCAACTCCCTCGCGTTTTTCCAAAGAAAGTCTTTCTCCGCGAGAAAACCCAGAAAAAAGATGACCAACGGAGACTGCTTTGTTGTTTTGCCCGAGAACTGTGCCGAGGGTACGCTGATCATTGGTCGCAATGCAGAGGACGAAAAAAACATAGACGTTGCTTCGGAAGTTTGCTTCTACGACACCGAAGAGGTGCTGGAGGGGAAGGTAAAGACTCCTCCGAAAACGAAGCTCGATCAATGACTCACCACTCGAACACCTCGCCTTTCAGACTGACGGCGGGGCTTCTGCCGAGACGAGCGGCGAAGTCGTGCGTGTCATATTGCAGAAACCGCAGCCGGGCCTTTGGGGCGGAGACTTTGGGGCCAACGAACGAGTGGCCGTAGGCCTCACCTGGGCGGCAGGGGAAAATGAGGCCAAGGACAGCGACAGCCTGCTGGGCACGGATATTGTGCGGTACGTTATACATATGTTAGTTAAATTTATCTCCCGGAGACTTTGGAAAAATGAATATCTCGATTCAATGCAGTTTCTTAGATACATAATGACGGACAGGTTCAGACACACAGAACCATTTGCACTGCTGCATAACATTTTAAATGCCTTTATTTCGGAAAAACTTTTTGAAGCATCCCGTACCTCCGATTACAAAGTAATAGCTCAAATAAAGGCTTAGACTAGACAAACAAAAACATCATTAAGTAATCGGGTCTTTAAATGATTACTTTCACTGCAAGGAGCTCCAGTGTTATTGAAAAAAATTGATTTCAAATTCTATTGTATCCGTTACTCGTAGAGTAAAACGGTATTTTTTATTCGTCGGAAAGTAAAGCAAGCCATTCACAGTCGAATTTCACTAACGGAGTATATTAAGCCATGTTCGTCTTTCTGTCGTATAGAGAATACGGATTTTTCATGCAGATTCTCGGGTTCCCCCGCAGTGCAAGTTTGTTTCATCACGCCACGCCCACTCTAAGCTTGTGGCTACCACATTGCCTTTCGTCAGTAGGCATCGCCACTCCAAGAAATTTGGTAAATCGGACCATTTATTCATAACTTATGTATTAGCAAATCAAGAAGTACCCTTTAGATGGCGCTGTTATGCCATATTTATCTGTATATCTCTGAAAATCGAACCTCTCGACTAAATGGTTATTTCTGGTATTGAACAGGATTCATTTATGCATTTTAATTTTCGTCAGATATTTAACTTTTAACTTTATATAATCCTTAGCTAACGATAAGCCCTGCAACAACAGAAAAATATTTTATTTTAATACTTATTAAATAAACAATTTTTTAGTCTGACTTTGGCTGTGGCCAAGGACGTGGATGATGCTGTAGATCGCATTGGAGCTTTGGTGGCCAGCCACGGTAACGACAACTCGAAACTAAACTTCATAGCTTGTGATGCTACTGCTGCCTGGTTCGTTAGTTGCTCGGGCAAGGTCTGGGCCGCCGAGAAGCTGGAAGCCAGCTTCATGCGTCTGCCCTCAGGAGGATTGGCTGTGACCACTGTAGTCAACAAGTCCAGCGAGGGACTGGATGAGGCAGCCAGCTTTGCCGCTGCCCACGATGCAGAGGCTCAGGCACCGGCCGAGGATTGGTGTGGACCCAAGCCGGCTGGCGATGGAACTTACACGCAGCACGATATGTTTGAGACGCTGCGAGCCGCTAGCAACGCGAGCAGCTCGCGGGCGGCAACAGTTTCGGTGCTGTCCGGGAAGGGAATCTCGTGCCATTGGTTTACCGGCACGCCCAATGCCGCCGAGTCTGTGTTTAAGCCGTTTGTTTTTGCTCCCAAACCGAGGATCTCGCCGCTCACCCAAGTGCAGTCGGATGCGGACTTGACGCTGCTGCACAAGCTCCACTCGCAACGGAAGCCGGCGGCCTTGGAGCACTTGCGCAGCTTGGAGCGCTCTTGCGTGGACGAGCTGAACAACTACTTTTCTCTGCAGGATCACGCCAGTGACGAGCTGGACGAATTGCTTAAGGACTGTGTCGAGGCGGAAGTCAAGTTCTATCGCTAGACAAACGAACACTATATGGATACTCCCAAAACTAGCTTGCAAGCTCTATTGAGCCTCAGGATTTGACTTGAGCATTCTTATGGCATTACCAAATAGGCTATAGTCGGCAAAACGTTTTCTTGTGCAATCTCTTATTGATTTACTTCCTTTAGTTTTTATGCTTTTGCGTGATATTTAAATTATTATTTATTCTCTCTCAGTGGGCAATCTCTGACTTGAATTTAAAGTATTATTATGTGACATTCCAGGCTTAGTTTTAACGATTTACATACTTGCATTAAAATATATACGAATACATACACAAATATACATTATATACGGCTCTCAAATAAACGCATAAAATCTGCATTTATATAAAAAGTAAAGCTGTTAATCTTATTCGGATTATGGAGTGGTTAATCAGTTAATTAAAGAATAGAGAAGTATAGTTCTTACGGAAAATGAATTTATTGAATTAAAATTTTACCATACTTAAAATTCCATTCTATAAAATTCCATTCAAAAATGAATACAAACGCTTTTCATATTAATAGTTTTACATATGTATTTTTAGACGGATTCTACAACCAAATTGGTCTTAAAAATAGTGCTATCATTGTGCAAGGCCTCCAGTTTTGTTATTTCAAAGGCCTGATAGATCTCGCGGAAGTCCATAATATTGCGCGGGTCGCTGTCCATCCAGAAGCGGTCAAATTCGAAGAACAGATAGCAGTACAGCTTGTGAAAATCCTCCACAGTACTAAAGTCCTGCCTGTGCTGCACCACCAGATTGTAGAAGTGAGTTTTGGCGGCGCCCGTTTTAACTAGATTGAAGGCCATAGAGGTAAGGTTAATGCCAACAATGGCGTAAGTGTAGCCGAGGGTGGGATGCATCGAATGCAGGAGCACATGCTTGGCGGCGTCGTTATAGGCAGTGGCGAAGTACAGCAAGTTCTCCAGTCCGAGCATCCCCATTCCCCGAAAGTCTGTCTTGGGATCGTCGCCCTGGAAGCCGATGTCCTGCCACTGCTTGCTTACGCGTCCAGTGAGAGGAGCCTCTGGCATCAGGAGTTGCCATAGTCGCAGCAACTTTTGCTCGTGGTCCAGGTTATCCGAGTCGTATTTCTCCGCCCGCAGCTGCTCCACCTGATGCATAAGGCGGCGGTAGCCCCAAATACTCGTTACACAGGTGCCAAACAGGCGGGCAAAGTCGGGGTGTACATTGTTCTTGATGCGTTTCGCTTGCATGACAATGCGAGCAGCGCGAGGAGCTGAAAGCAGCAGTATAAAATAATGAATTATTAATTTTGGCATCAACAAAAATGATGTAAGATATCTTAAGCTCAGTTCTATTTCACATTTCATAACTATTTAACTATAAACTCATGGAAACTAATAAGGAAAATGTACTTTTCCGCATACCCACCGAACTTCAGCAGCTCCGCGTTGTCCACATATGGCGCCGCCTCATCAAGGTCAAGTACAAGTCGACGAATCTGCGGTCTTTTCGACAAAATCAGCGACCTTTCCACCTGACTGGTTCGACTGGCACCTGCTCTGGCACCATAGCAAATCCTCTGCAGCTCCGAGAGCCTGGTGAAGGCGTGCAGGAACCACTTAATAAACGGCCTTATATAGCTAAAAACAAGAGAGAACGCTATAGTCGGGTGCCCCGACTATCAGATACCCGTTACTCAGCTAAAGGGAGTGCGAAAGAGATGGAGAAAAACTTTGATCCGCCGTAACTTTTTAACGAATGGTCCAATTTAAAAAATTTCTTCTACATTTCGATAGGTATTGATAAACACAATAAAACTGCATTTTTACTTTTCCATAATATTGAAATTTTTAAAATCGTATATAAGCGATTGTGGGCGTTAGAGGGGGCGTGGCACCCTTTTGAAACAAACTTGCGCTGCGTAGGAACTCCTAGAATCTGCATGCAAAATGTCAATCTTCTAGCTTTTATAGTTTCCGAGATCTCAGCGTTCATACAGACAGACAGACAGACAGACAGACAGACAGACAGACAGACAGACAGACGGACAGACAGACGGACAGACGGACATGGCTAGATCGACTCGGCTAGTGATCCCGATCAAGAATATATATAGTTTATAGGGTCGGAAACGCTTCCTTCTACCTGTTACATACTTTTGCACGAATCTAATATACCCTTTTACTCTACGAGTAACGGGTATAATAAACGGCAGTATTCTGTCGAGAATAAACATTTTCCTAATCGGATGACGAGAAGTCTTTTGATGTGTGGGATAGATTTCCCGATTTCGTTTGTTTGGGCCCTAGTTGCCAGGGCAACACGACAACGTTAACTTTCGATTCGCTTAAATTGATATTAAATACTGCACTTTGTAAGAGCTATCTTTTGTTAACTATTTTGATTTCTCTGCATTGGAACAATAACAAAAAACATTTTTCAAAAAAAATCAAGCCAGCTGATCAGGCAGTGCTCTAAATGGCGAGAATATTAAGGACATTCTGTCAGTCACCATTGGGGTATTCTTTAATCTATATTAGATTTTATTACTCTTGCATGTTTAAGTGCTGCTTAAACATTCGTATAATTTATTTTGAAAATTCTTTGAACGAAAATAAATACCCTTTTAAAGTTTTTGCAGAATTCACTCACTTTTAAATAACACATATTTTGGTTTTTAATTCAGGAATACCCCTTAGATTTTCAGCATTTTTGACCAAATAAGACGTTCATTAAACGGTCACACTGCTATTATTATCCTAAGCAATTACCAAAAACGTAAAATTATTTAAAAACATTTCGTTTAACACACTTGAGAGCTTCTGTAATTAAAAGATTTAAATGATACTCAAATTTCTGCCTTGTCGTGGATGTCGATAGGTCTGCTGTAAGGCTCGGAACAACAGAGAGCGGTTTTCACTCATGAAGTAACCAGTTCCAGTTACTTACGGTAACCTTAGGGGGATTGATTCAGACAACATGAAGCGCAGAGCCCCAGTCAAGCTTTCAACGCCGAAAACCTTACCGTATAAAGTGATAGAAAATGAATTTTCCAAGCCTAGTACTGAAGAAAAAATTAAGATCTTAAACGACAAAATGGATATGGTTCTCCAAAATCAAAAGAAAATGCTTGGGATTTTACGGTAATGTTTCAATTCATGTCCAAAACAACTACTGTGTCTGGTTTTTAATTTAACTTTTTATTCATTTCTTAGCCAACTGACGACTCAGCAAACCGGCTCCTTAGGACCCCAAATAGTTTCGGTAAATAGCCTACGACATGTAATGAGTCCTACGTCAGGGGGCTGGTCGCCTCAGGAGTTTCCCTTGAGAGAAGTGGAACAATTAGAGACGATGGAGGAGGATATGAATGATCCGATAAAATCGACCATATATGTAAGAAAATTCTTATCATTAAAGTGAATGTCCTAAAAACCATTTTCTTTGTTTCCAGATCCAAACCATGAAGGACATTCTGAAACCCGGCGGGACATTTCGTCCTGGTGGTCTCAAAAAACAATTTCATCTTATACTCGCCATCGATTTTTTGGTTGATTTCAATTTTGATGGTATCCACAACAAGATACCGCTGAAGAAGTTTGGAAACTTCAACAACGCTTTGTTTGGTATAATCTGTTTAACCAAAGTCTCCATATTCCTTTATTAACTTACTTAATGTTCATTGCAGAAGTTCAGAAGCGTGAAGGTTATTTTAGAGACGACTACGTCTCTGAAATCAGACTGGCCTTTCGTGTCTATAAGAATCGTAGACATAAAAGTATTTCCGATGCTCGGAAGAAAGTCAAGGAAGCCATGGCTCATATTGAGCCCCAAGTAAAATTTGAAGAGTTTCTGTATCCAGAATCAAATTAGCTTTCTTCAAGAGGGTTGTGTATAATTAAACTTATTTTAATATTCAACGAGAGTAATGTTATTACATATTAAGATACCTAACAAGCATATTTGTATTTTGTATGTAAAACATGGGCGCTGCAAATCATAGATTACTTTAAAGTGGTCTATTAAGCTACATTTGTATTGGCTCAATTAATTCGTATCATTCGCAAACTCTCGTGCTATGGCGATTAGATAAGGCTATGCTATAGCTGGGTTTGCGATTAAAAGCTTCCCATATTTTGCCTAGTCGGAAACCTGTGTCGCTCAGTAATAAACCAGCACTTGACGAGTCTAGCTGACCGATAAGACATCCAAAATGCGGAAAGAAAATGGAAGACTCTGGGGAAAGTTACACGATGGTGGGTTGGCTTGACAAATACTTCACATAACGAATTTGATATGCTTTTTATTCCTTTTCCTAAAATAATGTTCTTCAGGTAAATTTGAGGTGCGCAGTGTCACCCAATCCGACCTGGATGAGGCGCTAGATGTAAGTAAATTCCTGACTACCACCGGTGTGTGATCAAAAATAAAAAAAATATTTATGGTAAGATCAAGCTTAAAGTCCACTATCAATTTGTTTAACAGTGAAACTTTAGTGGTAGTAGCTTTTCCGCAGCGTAAAACTATCTTCGTGCGCCGCTTGCGTTGTGGCGTCGGTGGTGTAATGGTTAGCATAGTTGCCTTCCAAGCAGTTGACCCGGGTTCGATTCCCGGCCGACGCATTTCGCTTTTTGCAATATTTTTTTTTTTTTTTTTGCATTTTAAAGAAGTAGGAACGTATTTGGAAATTTTGCAGGTTCTCAACAGCTCATTCTTTCTTAATGAATCGATATGCATTGCCTGCGAGGTTAATTTGCCCGACAATAATGAACCACGTCTCGAACTGCGTGAGTTGTGTAGAATAACTGCCCAGGACGGAGTTTCCCTGGTGGTAAAAGAGGTGGAAACCGGTCGAGTGGTTTCGGTTGCCTTTAATAAAATGCAGGTAAATTAGATGACTTCAATTAAAATAAATCTATAGCAAAACAAAATTTAGTTTAAGCCATCGTCTGGCGAGGACCACTTCTTTCTAAAATTTCGTAAAGAGAGGGTCAAAACTCCTCAGGCCATGAAACTCTTAGACTTCGTGATCGAGGTGGACGAAGCAATTGATGTTTTTTCCATGTACAAAATGGACTGTTTCTGTGAACTGATGTATCTTGCCACTCTGCCAAACCATGAGCGATTAGGATTGGGACGCTCATTGACTCAGTTCACCATACAGCTAACTAAGGAGCTTTCTTTGGGAAAGGGCCTGGACGATATTGACGAAAAACTGCGATATAGGCGCCCAGAAGCTGTCACCGCTTTATGGACATCGAGTTTCTCCCAGAAGGTGGGCAAAGCCACCGACTTTAAAGTGCTCAACTCGGTTTCCTATTCGCAATTCGAATACAATGGCAAGCGCTTCGACGAACGCATTAGCCCTTTGCACAAATTTTGCGAACATGTTATATATAAATTTTAAAATAATAAGATGACAAATAAAATCGAACTTAAGCATTTATTATAGCCTTCAAACTTGTTTTCTAAGCATTTTACCAAAATTCCTAAACCTGGCGGCAAAACTAAGTTTTTTAAAAAATGTTGTTCATTAGTTGTTTAGGAAAAGTATGGGTGCAATTTTTTGTTTTTTGTTATCTTCATCTCCTTTGCTCTTCCATTAGCTGATAACGGGTATTTGATAGTCAAAGTCCCTAAGCGTTCTTCCTTGTTTTATTTTAGGTTCTTGACGGCTCTTTCTGTGTTAACGAATCGGTATGCATTGCATGTCAAATTAATTTACCGGAAAATCATCAAGCTCGCCTGGATTTGCGTGAATTGTGCCGGATAACCGCTCTGGACGGCGTTTCTTTGTTGGTGAAAGAGGTAGCAACTAACCGTGTTGTGTCCGTATCCTTTAATAAAATTCAGGTAAAATATGATGTAAGCTAAATAAAATATTTGTAATATTTCAACTGAAATTGCAGTTCGCACCGCCGCCTGGCGAAGATCCCTTCTTTCTAAAATTTCGCAATGAGGGCGCCAAAAGTCCTCAGGCCAGGCGCCTAATGGACTTTATGATCGAAGTGGACGAAAGAATTGACGTATGTGACATGTACAATATGGATTGCTTCTGTGAATTGATGTTTTTGGCTACTTTGCCGAGCCATGAGCGCTTGGGATTGGGGAGGTCTTTGTCCCACTTCACGATTGAACTCACTAAGGAGCTGGCTGAGGGAAAAGGTCTGGAGAATATTGACGAAAACTTGAGATCAAAACGCCCAGCGGCTGTCACCGCGCTCTGGACTTCGAGTTTCTCACAAAAAGTGGGAAAAGCCACCAATTTTAAAGTACTTAATACGGTTCCCTATTCTGAATTTGAGTACGATGGCAAGCGCTTTGACGAGCGCATTAGCCCTTTGCACAAATTCTGCGAACATGTTATATACAAGTTTTGAAAAAATAAACAAATTAAATAAAAGATGAACAAAAAAATTTAAAGTGCGTCGGCCGGGAATCGAACCCGGGTCAACTGCTTGGAAGGCAACTATGCTAACCATTACACCACCGACGCCACAACGCAAGCGGCGCACAACGATAGTTTTACGCTGCGGGAAAGCAACTACCAATAACATTTCACTCAAACAAAACAAATTTATAGTGCACTTCAAACTTAGTTTTGATCGCACGTTTTCATTACAATACCGACGCTATCTATAAGCAAAGAGTATGAATATATAGAGGGGATATGGCATTCCAGCAGTCACTGCGGCGCAGTGTAACAGTATAACCTGCATTGCTCAATTCTAGTTGGAATCTAGTCGGTCGCGGCCTTGCTTGCCGTTTGGTCCAGTGGATAAGACATCTGACTACCAATCTAAGCTGTATGGGTATCGAATCCAGCTCTAGACTTTTTTTTTGCTTTTCTTTTTTTTATTTTATTTATTATTTGTATTAAAAAAACAAAACAATTTTTTGTATAACTATTTTTTTATTCGATTTTGAAGTTGACCTCTGAGGTTTTCAATGCTTTACGGTTTTGGTTTTTAGATTTTATTTAATAGTATTTCCATTGTTTTTAAGGGGTTTTTAATGTGTAATTTATGTTTTTTTTTTACCTTTTTTAACTTATTTAGGTTTTTATGTTATATTTTTTATACTTTCAGAAATATAAACAAATTAAAATATAAGGCATATATTATTACTATATATATTTACAATGCTTAATCTTTATTATTTTAGAAAAGAAACGTTTATTTATTTAAGAATAGTTTTTAAGATATAGGACCTAGGATCGATTTTTCGAATGACGGCTGACATTTCCTATCCTCTATTTCTCTCTCTTATTAAAAAAGTTATAAAAGATAGGAAGTTGGGAATAAGTGAGCGGATTCTGAGAATTTCTGCACAGCGTAAGTTTATTTCCGTCGAGTTTCACGGCCATTCCAATGCCCAGAAATCACCCTTAAGATTTCATGTTCTTAATTTGTAAGTAAAATATATATTTTTAACGCAAGAAAACTGTGTTATTAAAATTTATCAGACTAACTATGAATTAAGCAGAAATAATCGCTTGATAAAAATGTATAAAACAAGTAGAACAAAATTTGAAATTGATACAGATATCGAATTAACATCTTGCCTTCAGAGCTTTTTTAACTTTACGTTTATATAAACGTAGGTATAACGTCTATTTACGTTTGGATATTAGACAATGAATGATGGCATCAGTATTTTAGATGGAGAGTTTCAGATTCTCCCCGTGACGCCAAACTTGTATGATGAAGTTGAAGAGGTAGGCATTCTTTTATTGTATTTTTCCATTTTTATGATTTGTGCTATTTTATGCTCCCTGTAGATGCTGGTCAATATTTCAGTGAACCAAGAATACGGATGTCTGATCACCAATCTGAAGGAGTCTCCATTAGCCATATCCGAGCTGCGTAACTTGATTAGACACATCCTTTCCTTAGGACTTTCTTTCGCCATACGTCATGTGGAGAGTGGGATAGTTGTGGCCGGTATCGCTAACATTATATTTGTAAGTTTTTAAAGTCCTCGAGATACATTAATATCTATATCAATGTGCACCCAAACAGAATGTGAAAAGGAAGAACTTATATTACGATATTAGAGACCAGATCAGAAGCCCAAATATGATCAAGTATATTAAGTTGTGGGATGCAGTCGAATCGAGCTTGGATGTCAATGAGCATTTTCAGATGGACAGTACTATGGATGTAGAATACATGGGCACTTTGCAAAACTTTAGGCGACGCGGTCTGGCTAAAATTTTGTGCCAGCATACCATTGATTTCGCGACGCTCATGTCCAAGGGAAAGCTTCCTTCAGAAGTGTTCGCCCGGATGCCTGAGGAGGTGCAGATTGAAAGACCAAAGGCCGTTGTCACTGTAGCCACTTCGCTAACTGCTAGAAAAATTGGCCACATCCTGGGAATGCAAACGGTTCATACATGGAATTTCTCCGAGCTAAGATCTTTAGGGGATATAATCACAGACCGCACCGACGGTGAGTCTTCCCAATATGCAGAGCTGCAAATAATTCAAATTTAATTATGTTTGAAAAAATAAATATTAATTTGAAAGTTTATTTAAATATCTTAAAAAAGTCCGAGGTTCACTTCTTAGTGAGGGCAAGTCTGTTGAAATGCTAGAAACTGTTGAGTTATTTATAACCAACTAAAAATAACCTCGAGTTCAATAAAGTGCTCAATTGTAAACGTAGGTCGAATAAATCACTAATAGATTAAAAGATAAAGAAAACAATTTTAATGCTATTTTTACTTTTCCTTTTATTAATTTTAAGGTTTAGATTCTAATTTCCTCTTCCTATAACCAATCTTTGAATAAAATGTGTTAAAAGGCAAGCACTTTCATTGGAATAAGAAGGCAATACAAAAATTTGAGTAGAACACTGCTAATTAAAAATGTTTACATTTTTACATGTGCTTCATTTTTTCAGAAAGCAGAATATCGGTCAATTTGTTACGCATATAAGTTTGGTAAACTGTTATTGCGTGTAAAATTACAATTTCACAACTAAATTGTTTTAAAATATGCTAATTTATATTTTTTTTATTTTCTTCACATCTTACCCGAAAATGAACGACTGCATCAGCGTTTTGGATGGCGAATTTCAACTCCTCCGGGTGACCCCAGCAATTTACAATGAAGCTGAAGAGGTTAGCATCCAAGCAGTCTGAAAAATCAAATGGATCTAATATTTTTCCTTTAGCTTCTGGTTAATTTGTCGGTTAACGAAGAATTTTTATGCCTTACCGCCAACATAAAGGATTCGGAAGAGGCGACTCAAGAGCTTCGGACACTGATTAGACATATTCTATCCTGTGGAATTTCGTTTGCCATTCGACAAGTGGCTAGTGGACGAATTGTTACTGCCATGGCCACTATAATATTCGTAAGTTCATATTGATCGGCCTTTTTTACCACCTTAATAAGTGATCATCCTTAATGACAGAACTACAAAAAAGAATCCTCTTACTTTCATATAATGGCTAAGTTCAAAAGTCCTAGCATGGTAAGGTACAGACGGTTGATGGATGCCATTGAGAACAGCTTTGATATGTACAAGGAGTGGAAGGTGAACAATATTATGGAAGTGGAATATTTGGCCACTAAGCCGGAATTCAGAGGTCGAGGTCTGTCATCTATTTTAACCCAGTATGTCATTAGTTTTGGAAAGCTAATGTCTCAGGGAAAACTTCCACCCGAAGTATTTGACCAACTATCAAAGGAGATGCAAGTTGATAGACCCGGTGCCATATGTACAATTGTCACATCTCCAACATACGTGAGATACGCACAGAAGATTGGTCTTCAAGTGGCCTATAAGTGGAGAATTTCAGAGTTGAGGTCTTGGGGAGGAAGTACTGCAGCACATAGTGACGACGAAGCCTTCGAGTATGCAGAGCTCCATATGATAAAGTATTGAAATGCAAACCTTTTAGAATTGACCAATGTTTAATGTGGCTATCTCCATTTTGAGCCGTGTACTTACTTACTTCTTTAAAAATCTATCAAAAAGGAAAGCTCTTTATTATAATACATCTATATTTTTTGCCAAGAGTTTGTAGTCTAAATAAATCAACGTGTGAAAAAGTTCATCTGTTAGGCCCATAAATGAACAAGCGAGAACGTTATAGTAGAATCAATCCATCATGTACAGCCCATTCTTAGGAAACTTTTATAAAAACGGAAGCTATTAGGCAACAGAAATCCTAGAGTATTGAAACGGGTATGGTATATTTTGAGAAACACTAACATACAAAATTAAATTTTTAATTTTCTGATAATTTCTAACTTTTTAATTACTCTTTAAAATTACTAATAAACATGTTTCTATAATGTAACAAATAATGTAAGCGTAAAGTATTATTTGAAATATTAAACCAAATAAAAAAGTGTGTGTTTTGGTCCAAAACCCCTGTGTAACCTTTAAATGATTACATGATTTCATTTTATAATTGTTTAAACTAAATATTTTTTGATAAGGATTAGAGTCCTGCATAAGTACATTTGAATTGACAAACAAGTCCATTTTTGAAAATAGAGTGAGTGAGTGCAAGGGAGTTAACTTCGATAACTTGATTCACTTGATCAAAACAAGTGATACAAGCACAGAATAAAAGTAAGTGGGAGTGATAGGATTACTAAGCAAATTATTTCGCTGATTCTAAATAAATTTATATCTATTTATTTTATATTGTATCACTTGTTTTTCCTTATAAAAAAAATCAAGTGAAACAAGTGATTGAAGTTAACTTAAATTAAAAATTGACTTGTTTGTCAATTCAGGACAATAAGGATCTCTAGCGGAGTAGATCTATCCATATCTTTCTGTCCGTCCGTATGAAAGCTAAGATCTAAAAAACTTTAAGAGCTAAACATTTTTGGGCAGCGCAAAAAATGAAAGGTGTAGCTGACTTAAATGCACTTGTTCCTCTTAGGGATTATAAAATACCTCGTCTTATATAGTTGTATTTAACACAATTGGTTAAATAAAAATGGCTTCAGCCCATATAGATTGTTAAAAATGTTCAGGACGTTTCAAAAGTTTTAATCCTTGCTGAATCCCCTCAGCTCTCATCTCACCCTTTTATAAAATCTCATTGTTGATTTCAATTTTTGCACTTTTGAAAAAAAACTTTTCAAATGAGATTAAAATTTACACAATTCTCGGTTCGGTGAGGCATGCACTCGAAGGGATTTCGATTTCCCGGCGTTTCCCTAATGCCTGGTGTCAACACAGCGGATGGCCGGACTGCAGGGGCAGAAAATCGGGCGAGCAGTGTGATAAGCATTTCGATCCTACTTTTCCTCTACCTCAACAATGCTCTGGGGTTTTTAATTAGAATTCGAATAACAAAAAACTGAAAGTACTTTGCCAAAAGAACAGGGGGAGAGGGCAAGGAAAAAAACCCTTGCGGAGGGGCAATTGTGTGTAATGATATCGCAGATCACGAAAGACTAGCAAGACTCGTATATACACTCAAAAATTTTTTTTTCCTAAATTTTAGAAAATCGCCATAAAATGAAATTTTTTCTTAATTTTAGAAAATTTTCTGAATTTTAGAAATTGTATTCTTGAATCTAGGAAAAAAGACCATAAAAACAGAATTTTATGAAAAACCTTTCTAAAATTTAGAAAAATGATTTTTTTTCTTAAATCAATGGTGTTTTTTCCTAGTTTGCTCTCCAAAAGTTTTCTTAAATTAATGGCGATTTCGCCATTAAATTAAGAAAAATGTACTTCAGCCCTTCCTATAATCTAGAAAGTCGCCATAAAAAATACGGTAAAATTTTCTAAATTTTAAGAATTTTTCTGAATTAAAAAAAAATGTTTTCTTGAAAACAAAAAAGTAGAATTAGAAAATCACCATAGATTTAAGAAAAACTTTTTGTATTTCTTTTATGCTTCTCACTCTTTCTTCGAAACGAAAAAGAAGAAGACAAGGGGTTAGTCCGCGGCGCGTTGCGACGACAGTTTTTGGCGTATGTATGTATATGTTTATGTGTGTTTGTGCGTACGATCGAGAATTTTCTTGTGCGTAGCTGTAACTTTTATTGCGTTGTTGTTTTGGAAATGCAGTCTCTCGCGAGAGAGTTGCTTGCGTTGCGCTGCATTTTGAACCCTTGTGCTCAGTTTTGGATGAGCATTCAAAGTAATAAGTTTGTGTTGAGCCCATTTAAGAAAGTTAAAGTGCGATCCCTCTAAGAGGCAATTAATAGGTAAGCAATTTAAATAAATTTAAATATAAATTTGGTAAGTGTGTGAAAATTTATGGTAAGCAAAGGGCATACTATTGCAGGCCGCAAATACCATCCTTCTCTAATATTAATTTTTATTTTCGATTGCAGGAATAATTTCAATTTCAGGTATTGTTGATAATTTGGCAGTAAGTAAATTTTAATAATAGGTAATATATTAAATACCTACTTTATATTAATATTAATAATTTTTATCTTTTTTGTTTTCTTTTCTTTTTTCTTTTTTGTTTAGGAAATATTTATAATGTAATTTTTATCTTTTTTTGTTTTCTTTTCTCTTTTTTCTTTAGGAAATATTTATTATCTTATTTTTATCTTTTTTGTTTTGTTTTCTTTTTTTGTTTAGGAAATATTAATAAATTTCTTTTCATCCTTTTTATTTTCTTTTCTCTTTCTTGTTTAGGAAATAAAATAGTAAAATAAATATGTATACATTTTATTAAAATAAATAAAATTTTCTGAAAATAAAAAAAGTCCTTTCTTATTTTAAGAAAAAAAATTCTATTTTCAAGAAAAGTACTTTCTGGATTTAAGGAAATTTTATGGCAATTTTTCTTGATTTTAGAAAAGTATTTCTGCTTTTCAGAAATTTTTTTCTAAATTTTAGAAAATTCCTTTCTAAAAAATACGGTAAATCGCCATCGACTGAAATTCATGGCGAATTTCTTGATTTAATGGCGATTTCGGGCTGTTTTTTTTTTGAGTGTAGGGTTGTCTGCCAAAGAGGCGGTTACGCTTGATTGTGCTATATGACGTGTGCATAATTCGCCGAGTGCCGACCAATTTATGGTCTGTTCAGCTAGTGGCAGTTAATTTTAAAATTACATAGAGAATATTTAATAATAATATAGAACCTGGTACTTATTTTCGGGTTTTGGGTGGCGGAATAAAAAAAATCAATTTGATTTATTAAATCTAAAGGTGACCTTAGGTCAAAAATTGCATTCGTTTGAATTGTGTTAATCCTATTTGATATAAGAATCATTAACAAAAGAATTGTTTTTTTATTTTCTTTTAATTTTAAATGACATTGTTATTAGTTGGTCTAACAATCCAACTGTCTTTTGATAATAATGGTTTTTATGGTCTAAGTATTATTATTACTGTAACTATAGGTGGGTGGTTATTTCGACATTTAGCTACTAATTATAGAGCTGAGTTTTTTACATTTATGTAGGAAATATGGTCTGCATATAGAGACATGGAAATTCGAAACTGAAATGGTCGCCAATTAGTAAAATAATGATTTTCTCTTTACAAGCCTTTCAGATAGTAACCCATTGGAATATAAACGTATTTTACTATCGTAACCTCTGATCTCTCATAAAAACCTCAAAGCTTTCAGCCCACAAATTTCCGCTGGAAGACAGCTTGATAATATTGAAAACTAATTTGTTTATACAGCTGCACAAAACGAGCAGCGCCGGCAACGATAACAACGCAGAAACAAAGACGAAGGACCGGGGGTAGGCGGCAGGCTCCTGGCAAAGGCAAAACAATTTGTTTATCATGGTAGCCTTAGTGAGGTTGTCTGATGATGAGGCAACACACACAGGACAGGCTCGGGAAAAAGGACAACAAACAAACAGAGTTCTGGCGAAGAGCAGGACGAGGATGAGCCCGACAACGCATCAGGGGAGGGAAGGAAACTCTGAACACACCGAGAAAAACAGGCCAGGTCTACTAAAAAGCACTAATTTTAAAATGTGATTTCTAAATTTCTAAAAACAAATTATATATTTTAGATCTAAATTGAAAAAAACCCTTTTTTTAAGAAATAACATTATTATTATATTACACTATATTTTTGAAAAGCTACAAAATAGTTAAGATAAGTTAATAGTTCTGTTTTGAAGGGAAATAAATGTTATTGGAGACTGTTCTTTATTTAATATATTATTCTTCCAGTGTAGCATATTTTGACACCCCTGTCTCTGCTGTGCCCCGAAAAATATGCAGTATATGTATACTGCAATCGCTTTTTAATGGAGTTGTTTCCCAAAAAGGGAAGGAGGTAATCCTAGACAGTGCAAATATTTGAATTTGTACTTCGCTAATGCTTAAAAATTATGCTGGTTGACAAATTCCGCTGGGGCTAACTTGACAGTAAAACTATTCTGTATATTTTTTACCATGTTTGCTGAGCTCGTCTTGGTTGCAACAAATCATTAATTAGACTTAGGAGTAGTACAAAATAATCCAAACGATGGAAACGACACAACCAAGATCCTTATTTCCGCACATCACTGCGGAACTTGTGCAGCTGGCATCTCAACCCCTTTAATGCGCCTCCGCCCCCTGGGGCAAAACACTTGTCTACATCAAACATCAACACCTTCCATTGTCAAGCACTTGGGCAATAATTCCGCTTAAACAGATAAACGAGCGCTCGAATCAAAAAACAATTGAACGCGCTCACAATGTGAAAATGGTATAGAGCATGGCCTGAAACATCAAGTTCTTCACCCCCCCCAAACCTCTGGGTAAACTTAATAAGCTTATGACACCCTGCAAATGCAACCCTGCATGGCTAAACTTTCAGCTTGCCGAGCTCCGATTGGTGGACACTTGGGCACCGCCCCTTTAGCTGTATCTTTGATGTGGCACCGCCATTGAAAGATACAATATGTGGCACACTATCCACCCCGTGCCGCACCCTTCTGA